ATTTGTCCTCCCGAGCTGTGGTCGGGGCTGCCGGGGTTTCCTCGAAACGTTCTTGGTTTCTGTCAGCTCTTTGCCGGCCGCGTTGTTGGGGGGTAGGGGAGTTGGTGGGGGGGGATGTTGCTGTGCGGTCGAAAGAAGCCGTGTCCCCCGCAGGACGTTTTGGCCTCACAGCAGCTGAACGGCCCGTAAAAAGCAGCGGCTCGGCTGGTTTGGGCCGTTTCTTTGGCGGTGTCACTGAATGCAAATCTGACGCCAGCGACAGTCTGCGAAGTGGGTTGTAGCCGGTTGTGATGGAGGTAAGTTGTGTAGCTCGAGGCCGGGATTTTTGTAAGGAAAAAATACACGACGGTAGAGTCTGACAGCGCTTGCGGCCAGCGCTGTCTCCCTGTTCCCCTCGCTGTGCCTGAGCAGTGCAGGGCAGCCCAGGAGTCTGTTGGCATGTTTTAACACTGCCTCTCCCATGCTGGTTCCTCCAGGGGCACGTCTGGCTCACACGGAGCGCTGCTGGCGGTGTAACGGGCCTCTAGTGAATGGACTTGGAGTATTCAGGTTAAATGATTTTAAGGCCTTCAAAGCACTTGTCCAGAATCCCCCAGCAAAGCCAGAAATAGTGCAGTACGATCACAGTACGAACCCACAGTACGATCACCTAGTTTGCATGGTTTAAGTAGTAAAGTTGGTCCATACATCATATTACCTGTGTAGGTTTTTGAACATCTTTCCGCCTGAAACATCTCCTGTCATGTCTCTCTCTCTCAATATTCAGATAAGTAGATTTCTATAAATAAATACGCCATCTGCTTGTTTCAAAGAATAGGGTGTGGTTTTTGCTGTATTGATATGGAGCTTTTCCAAAATACAGGCCGGTGACTTTAAAAACTTTAAAACCTGCTTTTTATTTCTGAGTGGGAGCAAATACATAACCAGCCTGAACTCCACGTAAAAATGAGCTGCCTTTGAAGACAATGTGGAAGTGTGAAGCTGAGTTTTGATAGTGCTGGGGGCTTCAGGCAGCTCCCAGGGGAGTTACGGTGAACCCAGGCTGATGAGGTGAGTGAGGGCAGGACTGACTAGTGTTTCCATGTTTGTTTTCTAGGGATTGCTGAAGCTCTGAAGAGAAGGAGTAACAAAGCTTAATCAGAGTTCTGACAGAAATGGTTTTCCCCTGGAATTTCACTGGCGTTGATAGATCTGCAGAGAACATCCAGATTTAGACAACCTGCAAACTCGGAGATAAACCTGTTTTGTCACATTTTTCTTAGATATTCTAAGGTGCTAAATGCATAACTTGGCTTTGAATATGCATAATTTAAGATACACCTGTTCAGCGTACAGAGCCGTGCATGAGTCACTTCATATTCCAAGACTGGGATAGTTGTTATTTATGAAAGCATGAACAAGGATCAAAGGTAGGCAAATACATCTGTTGCATAATACTATATATGTATATATATACACTTTGAAGATAAATTGCAAGGAATAAGACATAAAGGAAATATTTTGCTAAGTGAATTCAGGATCCTCTAAACTTTCCCCTTAAGAGAAAATTTTAAACAGCCTGAAAAATCAGATCCTGCAGGTGTAACTGTTCTTGAAAGCAACTGTGAAAGTAGCGTGCTTTGGCTTTAGGTTTCTGTGTGACTTCTGAACAAAGCTGGTAACCTTGTTGAAGTAGAAGTTACTGTTTTTTCTACTTGTGGAATCTGTAAACTTGATCTGAATGAGAAAGTCAAATTATTTTATCTTCTGTCACATTCACTAGTGCCAAAACTAAATGGACATGATAGATATGTATTACTTTATCACTGATACCAGCAAACTAGAAAGCAATTAAAGATTTTGTCACAAGTAAATCTTACCACCTTAGTCATAATTTTTAATTTTGATTGAAAAAAGGAAGACTGCTATTTTATATCTCCTAAATATTCCTCATGCTTGAATGAGTTAATAAAATAAACCAAACTGAAATTAAAAGAATTTTCTCTTTGTGGAATTATGATTATCAGTTGCATAGATACAGGTTCTCAGTGTTTATCCAGTGACTTCTATAATTATGCTAAAACTTTGAGCGGAGGAAGATTTACATCTCAGATGAAGGTTTTTTAATTCATCTGATTTTAACATGCTGTGTCAAGTTTGACCATAGTATGCTTTGCCATGGTTTTTAATTTTCAACTGTTTTGTTTTGCAGAGAAACAAACTTAAGTTGTGTTTAAAAATATTTCTAAATTTCGAAATAATATATTTATATTAAAGCTGGAGAAGATTCTCTGGAAATAGTTATACCCTTGCCCAGCCATCTACAGATTCACAGTTATTCCTTAGTACTTTGCCTATTATTCAAAATCAGATCCTGCAAATTTTAATGCTATGAGGATAGTAAGTAGAGTAAAATAATAACATTGAGGAGAGGGAATATTCTAATAGATTTTAGGTATTAAGAAGTTGTAACATAAACTTCATCACTTCCTTATAATTAATAATTTTATAATTGGGTTTTTTTCTAACCTTCATCTTGATCTACTCTCTTTCTGGAAATATTTCTTAAAACAATGATGAGTTCTTGTAATATTTGAAACAAAGCCAAGCAATGTTTATTTTCATTGTATTTAATAAGTTGGAGTAAGTGGCATAGAATTTTCAGATGCTATCTTCATGCACAATTAATGCAAATAATCATACAATGCTTACTGTATTTATTTCAAATGGTAAGAGCCCTTTCCATTTGAAAAAAGGAAAGTGCTAATGTCATAAAATTGCCTGAGGATAACCTGAGGATCTTTGCCTCCCTTTCCCCCCCGCCAATAGCAGTAACATTTTCAAGACCAATGCCTCCCCTCAAACATTGAAGAGGTTAAAATAACTTTGTAAATAGACCTTGTTTTACCTGCAAGTAATTTACTAAAATAATTTGCTGAATGTGATTGTTTTTAATGTATTTTCAGGTACAGAAGCAAAATGTTTATTTTGCAGTCAGTAGGTTATATTTCTTAATCACTCTGGAAACACTGATGGGTGGACCAATGTATTTTTACCAATTTGGTAAGTTGCTTGTACCTTTATATTGTAAGAGGAGTAGTACTGCTTGTTTCTCACTAATGCTCCTTCTGAGTTACTGAAGTAAGGCACCATCATCTTGCAGAGCTCTCCCTGGAATAATTCACAGAATCAATAATATAGTGTATTATATTCTACATACTCCATTCTATACATAAAACCATGATTATCCCATAAGGAAAAAATGCTTTGAAACCACATTCTGCCTCTCTAAGCATCCAGTGAACTCTTAGTTGGATGTGTTGCTTTTCATTTCTTGTTCTAATTTTTTTCAGGACTCCTTATTTTTGGGATTAGCAGGCACAACGTTTTTTGTTCACTGAGCTGTAGTGTAGTGTAGTTGTAGTGGGGAAACTGTTTGATAGGATTATTAAATTCTGTAAAAAGGATCAGATGGTAAAGAAGATTTCCCATTCAGTTTACAGACCATCTTTATTCCTCCAGTCTGAAGTTTCCCAGTTATTTGGTATAAGATTGTTGTTTTATTTTCTTTTCTGTGTCTCTTATATAAGAGCGTAACTGACAAAATTTTGCAACTCTCCAGCTATCTTTGCTAAACATGTTTGTTGATACAAAGTTCTGAGGCAGTTTGAACTCTAGATGAACAGGGTTTGATTTTGACAGGGGAGGGGCATTTAAAAATCAGAAATATGGACAGAATAGAAAAACATTTTTGTCAACAGGAAATACTTCAGCATGATAGCTGACACACGTGAGCTGGCTGAGCATAACAGAGAATGGTGGAAGACTACTTGCATCTCATAATTCAGTGTGCTTCCTCCAAGGAAGTGTGTCATTACTCAAGTTGGTACCCTGGCACTATGTGTTTCTATAATGGGAATAGCCTTAATTTGCTAAAGGTGTGTGCCTGTTGAGAGAAGGGAGAATTCCTGCCACAAATGATTATGAATCTGAGCTTGTGTTCACGTAAAGAGTAATAACTGTTGAAGTATTGCTGTATTATTCATATTCACTGGATTTTGTTTCTAGATAGGTGATCTGTTACTACATGGCAAGAAATCAATTGTTCTGCTCTTAGCTGCACTTCTCTAAGGGGATGTTTATTATTCAGTAATAATGTAGAAGAACAAGTGCAGAAGGAAGACGTACTAGAGAGGATGTCTGTAGTTTGAATGCCAAAATGAAGCTTGAGAGAGATGAGTTCTCTGTCTTGCGGAAGCAAATTTGCTGATTGTGCAACTCAAGTGAGCTGCTTAATATCTTTGCGACAGATTTCAGAAGGGATGCTGGGAGCATAGTTTAATATTTGTGAGACAGGTGTCCAAAGAGCCAGATTTATAAGAGACTTGAATAAGTATCTGTCCCAAATAATTTCAACAAACTTAGGTGCACAAGTGCACTTGTGTGTGCTTCTGTGTGCCCACTGCTAATTAAAGGGCAGTTTTTAAGGCAACTCTCTGCAGCCATAAAGATTCTGTGGAGATTTCTCTTTAATTAATTGAGTAGGAAATCTTTCCTTTCCTCTTCCAGTACTCTCTGCAAAAGTAGACAAGGTTCATAAAATAACTGAATTTAATCCATTAGGAATTTCTCCCAGTGTGTCTGGGACAGGACAGTTCCCACTGACTCAATTCTATTCCAAATCCCCTCTAATTTATCAGGAATATGTATTCTAGTACTATGGGTCACATAGTTGGGGGTTAGACCATATGACCTGCAAAGGTTCCTTCCAGCCACAGCCACTCTGTGATAGTCCTGTCTACATTATTTGTAGATCTCCATTAAAATGGTTTTAATTTTTTATAAGGTATGTCCCAGAATTCTTTTCTCTTTTCATGATTGTTCTCACTGTGGTGCAACTTGTTGACACATCAAGTAGTTCTGTTATGCTATTTGTCATAGTGTGGCACCTGAAAACCTCAGTTGTGGACCAGAGTGCTACAGTGTTAGTTGCTGTACAAATATGAAGTCAAAGACGTTGCTCATGCTACAGAAACTACCATGCTAAGTGAGATAAGGAGAATAAGGTAACACATAAGGCAGTGTTAATCAGCACAGTTCAACAGAGGTATCAAGGCCAGTGGTGTTTTGGGTATTGTCATATTTTTGGGTAGAGAGTTTAGATGTCAAGTCAAAAGAGAGTTCATGGAGAAGAGTTTTAGGGAAAATAATGAAGTAATTTTGCAAATATTTCCAGGGAGTTCGTCTAATGCATGAGAAAAAGCATGCATGTTTGAAATTAAACTAATAACTTCTTTGGCAAACTGAGTATGGGAGTCAGCATCTTATTAGTAAGAGGACAGGCCACAAACTCTTTTAAAATGAGGACAGGAAGTTTGTATTTGGACTCAGAAAGCGGAAGGGAGCTGAGTCTTGAGAAAAAAAATTAGCAGTGTCAGAACAATAATTTCAAGAATGTCTTGAAGCACCATGCTGAAAAGGTACGAATAATGCAAGACTGGGTTGGTCAAGGAAGAGAATTCTGGATACCGTGAGAATCTGGATGAATGAACAGTCTCTTAGGGAGGTTATATAAGAAGATGTGGGGACTCCTCTAATGTCAGGAATTGCAAAGAGGCTGGGTTCAAGAGATTATCCAGACAGTAGACCTGACTGACAGGTTGAATGTGGCCAGAGAAGAAGTGTTGCAGCTTCTGTTGGTGAGTTTTTTTTCTTTTCTTTTGCAGGCAGAGAATAGAATGCTGTAGAGTTTCCCAGGACACAAAATAGAGAGGGAGTTACGAAATAAAGCCTGAAGTAGGGAGTTACAGGAGTTTGCTGACTGAAGACAGTGATTAATATACCAAAGCTGTTAAAACTACAGCCTTGAGGACTCCCCACATTTAGCAAAGGACACCTGTGAAAATGATTGAATGATGTTCATCAAGCAGTAATAGTATCTTTTCCTAGACCAGTTTTAAGATTCTTGTTGGCACTTAAAACTGTGTTTAATAGACTGAGTGAAATATAGTCAGAATCCTCTAAGAGAATATTTGATAAGAATACCTTAAGTATGTTTATTCACACTGCATCTTAAACCTCATCTGGCAGGGATCAGCATAAGCCTGAACCACAGTGTTACCAAGAACTAGCTCCTAGGAGCCTTAGAATTAATGACAGATGTTGGAAGGGGACATCCTGCACTCTGGGGAAGGAGGGCAGGGTAGAGGAAAGCAGTGAGAAGATGGGAAAGAAAGAAGCCCTTGCACTGAGGGAATACTGAGTGTTGTCTCTAATTGTTGCAAATTATTATTGCCAATAGTAAGCTAATAATCAGACACTGTAAACATACAAATGTATTAATACATAGTTTCATTTTCCAGTGTACCTCAGCATTCTGTGTATAGCTTGTTGCAGCCTGCCTGGTAAGCGTTTTCATTGTCTTTCAAATGCTTTTCCTAATACAGCATCATTTTAAAACTTCATGTTTTTTTGAAGAAAGAGCTTAATAGAAATATAGTCCAGGAGGACAGTCCTTTGCATTGTTGTTTCTATTGTGCTGAACTCTGTTCTATAGTTGCTTTATTTTGGGGGAAATATTGGACTGCTCTAATTCAGTTTATTGATTAGAATTGTTGCAATCTCATATTTACCATTCATATTGGTGGGTTGTTTGTTTTTGTGGATTTTTTTCCTTTTCTAGAAAGAGTTCTGGGAGAGCCACCTCGCAACCTACAAATGGAATCTCAGAATTTTCAGCACATTTTGTCTTGGCAGGCAAAAAGTGATCCAACTGCGCTAACATACTATCGTGTACTGTACAGCGCTCGCAGGCAAGTCTTATAAGACAGAAATTTTACTTTTAATGTTTATCAACTCAAAATACTAAGGCTGGGGTTTTCTTGTTTGTTTATCTGTTTTTCCCCCCAGAAATTCTCCCACTCCCTCACCCCAATGCTTTCTTATAACAGAGAATCTGGATAGATTATCTTGATCTTTTTTTAACTCCTCTTGATTTACAGGAACTGGATGGCTGCTAAACAATGTTCAAACATTACACAACTCTCCTGTAATCTGACAGATGATTTTGAAGATGCTCATGCTCAGTATTTAGCATTGGTTCAGAGCTTCGTAGGAACCAAAGTATTCAATTCTTCTGTACTTGATTTTGAGCCACTTACTGACAGTAAGTTGTCTGTCTGCACTTGCTCATTTTAGTAGTTTTTTCTTGTAGCTGATGTATAAATGACATTCTGTTAACTTTTTGTAAGACACTCCAAATTAACTTGGTCAGTAGCTTATTCATTTACTTAAGAGAATATGAATTTGTATATAATGTATCACATATCAGTTACAAGACATAGAATATACAGATAGCTTTCTAACATCAGTGGCTACAGTACTGATAAATGGATGGGGCTCTGGTTTTGAAATAAAATATATATATATATATATACATAAATATAGAGGACATAGCCTTGTGTCAAGCATTGACCAGCACGGAGTAAAAATCTCTTAAGTGCATAGGATACATAACTTTAAAAAAAACCCACCACATTGTTTTTAAAGAGTTAAAGAAATACCGTGTCTACACTAGGTGTAAGTGAAGAGAGATACTTGTTTGATCATCAACCCACTCTTTTCCCTTTCCTTGCTGAAAAAAGATGCTTATTAGCTGTGACACTTTCTAGGGCCAGAGGTGGCTTCACCCTTAGTTGTGCTTAGTATTCAGTTTTGAAGTAACAGAAATGGAGATTGAGGAACAATTGGAGGACTGTGAAGGAGATACAGGTCATGTTTCGTCTGAATTCAGCACAGAGGTAGCTGCTGCTCTGTCCATTTGTAGTCTTAGAAATTATGGAAAATTGGGGGGGATGGGGAGAATAACCACAAGGACAACTGAAGAATTTCAGAACATCCCTCTGAGGTGGAGGCCTTCAGTCTTTCCACGGTTAGCTTAATAAAGAGAAGGATCAGAAACTGCATTTACCACTATGACAGGCTTCTTCAGTCTTGTAAACAAAGTATAACAGCATGCCCTAACTGGATAAATTTTATCAAGGAACAAGAAGCATATTTTGAACTGACCACTGGAAAAAACTGTCAGGTGCTCTGACTCATTTTCCATCACTGGCAACTTGTAAGTTGAAATTGAACTAGAGAACTATTAGCAAAACATCCAAACTTGAATGAAGTCATGTTTCCCAGGGCACGGGACTTACATGAACCCTGTAGTTTTTTCTTGGTTTACGGTGCCTGAATAGGAAGGAATCAATATTCTGAGACATTTCCCTACCAGGTGTAGTTGATATCTACCTTCAAATACCTATCATGGAATCTCACTCCTCTTGGACAGATGGATTTGACTAAAGACAGAAAGGCTTCATAAAAAAGAGCCAGGAGAACAGCCACACTTGACTGTAACCAGCTTTAAGCTAATGTTTATTTATAACTTAAAAGATGAGAAAGGAGTAAGTGTGCAACCACTTGACTAGGACATGCACTCCTCTTTGAGAGTAGGTGAAAACTCGCATTTGTTCTAAGTATTAAACTTTTTTTTTTTGCTTTCTACCCCGTTCCAGGAACAGAAGTAGTTATCAAATGTATATTGCTTTTTTTAAATTTTGCCGAGGTTCGCAAACCAGTCTCCACCTTGATCAAAATGTACATGCTTCTGGAAAAGACCAAATGCAAACTCTTAAGTTTTCATGGGTTTTCGCCCCACAACGACAGACATGGAAGGTTATGGAGATAGTTTGTTTTTACACTATTTTCCAACATTCCTACTTCTTTCCCATGTTGGAGAAAAGAAGATCTTAGGCTTGATTCACTACGGATGTTCCTCTGACCTCGATGTGTAGATTTTGGAGAGAGGAGACAATTAGTGTGCATGACTCCTCAAACGCATGCATGATCTGAGGACCTGAACCTGAGAGATTACTTTGAATCAAATGGAAGTCTCAGTGAAGTGTAAATGTTTCCCTAAGTTCTCAGTAGAGTTTTTAGCCTTCAGAGCTCTGCTGTCAAGTTTAGACCTATAGCCATCCTTGCAACCAGAATGAATATGTGCAGGGCTACACACCACTGCATTTCTACAGGGAGTGACTAGAAGGTGATGATGAGCAAAAAAGTAATCAGCTTTTCATATACATTAACCTCAGCTCTCCTCTCAAATAGATAAAAAGGTCACATCTCTGTGGAGCTGAAGCAATGCCTCTGTGACCTTTCTGCTTCTTCCCTCCCTTGCACTGCCTTCTGTTTTTAAAATCTAGTCATGGGAAAAGATCATTTGACCATGGAACTGAAATGTTACAAGGCCTTGTAGATTTACAACAGTGATACATTCTGGCATTGGATCAGTCAGCTATATATCCATCCCGGGAATAGAATTGGTACTGAATACATAGTGTATATTTTTTCCTTCAGTTTTTTTTTTCCTCTTTCTTTTCAATAGCATTCCTGGGACCACCAGAAGTTAATATCAGTTCCTGTCTAAACTGCATAAATGTCACCATAAAGTTGCCGGCCTGTCACTTAAGAAAAAATGAAAAGCGATGTTCTTTAATTGATATATATAAAGAGCTTGATTATATTATAAAACTGAAAACACTCGATGGAGAGCATAAGGTAAAGATCTTTTTGTTTTATTGGTGTGTTAGAGGAGAAATACAGAAAGCATAGAATGGCTCTGGTGTTTAGCAGATTCACAGAAGCAAATGTGTCAATAGAAGATGCTTAGAAGAAAACAAAGAGAATAACCAACATAATCTTGGCTTCCATTTACTCCAGAATAGCAGACCTAGAAGAGGAATACTAGTTGTCCTGTATCCTTACTTGAAATAAAGCACAGGGCACTTGCTCAAGTAATTATTCTCTGGGAAGACAAAGGGAAAGACAGTTTAGTAGAAACTACTGTCAGCTTTATGAGTAGCTGGTGGGAAAATATGTTCAGAAAGCAGTTCAGTAAACTGGAAAAATGTATCCAGTTAGTTTCTCAAACAACCTGTTCTAGGTCTGGTACTTTCTAATTGGGGAGGGGGAGGGGGAGGTTGCATGTTGAAATAGAGAGGTAGATAGGAATTATTAGAACTTAAAATGGTCCAAAATGGAGAAATAATCTTAACATAATAGGAGATAATTCAATAAGGACCAGTGTAGGTACATAACACTCAAGAATAATTGTCTGTGTAATAAGTTGAGTGGTAACAGCTACACAGGCAACATTATTGCCAGAATGGATGAGAGCATTCTATAATATTGAAACTAAACATGATTCACGTGTTGCTGAGTTATTTTAAAAAACCCATATTTTTACGTACTCAGTATATGTAAAGCCCACCTACGCCTCACCAGTCTGGGGTTCAGAAAAGGCATGGACTGGTTGAGCAGGATCCAGGAAGAACAGTGAGGACTGTGTGGGATCCTGACACATGAATTGTGAGGAAATGCTGGTATAATAGGGGACTGCTTAGTGTAAGCAAGCAAAGCACAGTAAGAGGCCAGAGTCTCTGAATATGTAAGCATTTACTACAGGAAAAGAGGAAATAAACCATTCACTGTGACTAAAACCAGTGAAGTGAAATTGGCAGTTGTGCAGACTTTAGGTTAAACATCAAGAGAGACATTAGTACCTGAAATAAGTTGCCAAACAAAAGCGTGGATTGCCTGTACTGGAAGTTTTGAACAGCAGGTCAGACAGGTACCTGTTGCGAATTTAATCTAACTCATTCTGCCATGAGTCACAGAAGAGGGACCACAACTTGGCCTGCCATGGATATTTTTCCCCTAATTTGTGAATCGGAATATCACTTGTTGATTCAAATCTGTAGCATCTATGTGAGGCTACTCCAGTGGGGCATATAGTGACCAACAGTTGGAGACAGAAGGTAGTTTATCTTTGGTAATACAATATTTCGCAAACAGGCATAAGGGAGGCATCTTGACAGAATGAGAGATGAAACAGTTGTCTAGGTAAACAGCTGAGTTACTGTGTCAGTTTTTGCATTTCTCTGAAGTAGCCATATTGTTTTATCAGTCGCTGGGGAGCATTTTTTAGGCAAATAGCTGACTTTATAACATTGTCTTTCATAGCAGAGGCTACAGAATAAAGTCACTGAAGAAATTTTTAGTACTGTCATTGAAGAGTTGTATCCAAATAGAAATTACTGTGTGTCTGTTGTGGTTGCTGCATCTTCAAACAGAAATTCCATCCCATCAGCCTGGAAATGTGTAACTACAGATTCTGAAGCTCAACAAGGTAACTGTGGTGTGGTATAGGGTAGGATTTTCTGCGTTGATTATGTGTGTTTTCTTTTTGCATAGGAAGATTTCCCAGACAATTAATCCTAAAAATAATAAGAGAAGAAAATACCTTTTGAGTGATAAATGTTGTGGGGATTTATAAATGAAATCTAAAAACCTTTTAGAAAAAAAAACAAAACACTTTGGGGCTACAAATATTTTATTTATCCTGTGAGCCATACAAACCTCCAGTAACTGTATAAGTGGTTATCAAAGATGGTGTAATTTCTTTTTTAATTCCTGAACCTAATTTGGGATTTGATCTTGTTTTGACCTCCAGAGGTCCCTTCTAACCAAAATTATTCTGTTGTTCTAAATAGCTATTCTGAATGTGTAATATGAAATGTGGTCATTGGAATCTTCATTCATGTATGTTTATTTGTTTGGGTTTTTTTCCCTTGCAGATTATTATACAGCTGCAATTGCAGGCGCTGTATGTTTTTCACTGATCTTAGCTAGTGCCCTGAAGTGTATGCACGCAGGAGGTTATATTCTTCAAAAAACCTCACTTCCACAAGCTTTGGTATGTAGTAATTCTCACATTAAAACTTTCTGGGTGGGAGAACAAAGTTCGCCATCTGAAATTTCTAATCCTGTGTATTAGGCACAAGTTTTGTAAGTATATGTAATGTTTTAATTTGCAGTTTACCTATGTCAAAGATAGTCTATAGGCTGCTAAATCTTGTGTGTTCTGCAGACCAAATACTCGGTCTTTTTCAAAACAGTTTCTTGCTACTTCTGTGACAAGTTACTAACAGAGACATAATTATGCCACCCTACTCAGGACTTGTGAGGCCGCACCCAGAGTTCTGTGTCCAGTTCTGGACCTCACAGCACAAGGACGATGCAGGCAGACTGGAAAGGGTCTAGAGGAGGGCCACAAAGATGATCAAAGGGCTGGAGAACCTGCCCTGTGAGGAAAGACTGAAGGAGTTAAGTCTTTTCTCCCTGGTGAAGAGTTGGCTCGGGGGTACCTCATTACAGTATTTCAGTACTTAAAGAGAGTCTACAAACAGGACAGAGGCTTTCAAGACAAGGGACAATGGCTACAAGTTGCACCAATAGAGGTTTGATGTCCATATAAGAATTTTTTTACAGTGAGAACAATCAGTCACTGAAACAACTTCACCGAGGATGTGGTAGAGTCCCCATCACTGGAGCTTTTCAATACGTGATTGGACGTGGTGGTAGATAATGTCATCTAGGCTTCTCCTCCCATGAAAGGTTGCACCAGATGATCTTTTGAGGTCCCTTCTAGCCTGGGCTGTTCTAGGATTCTGTGAAGTTAGTGGAGCCAGGCAGTAGTGAAGAGGAAACCACCCATAAAATATCTTTAAATGAACTCTTTATGGTACACAAAAGCAGGCTAGATCCTCCAGCAGAGCACCCAGCATAGGACAGCTAGCCCCTTGCCCTTTGAAAATTACCTTACATGTAAATCCTTCCTGCAGCAGACAAATTTATTTTACTATCTGAGCCAGGGCAATAACTCCAAAACAAAACACCTGCTCCCGTTCTTAGGTGGAGTGCATAGGGAGAAGACCTGTTCTCTACCAAGAAGACTGCGCTGAAAACATTCAGGAGCAATGTGTATTCATTGCTCCTTAGCAAATTAGTTTCTGGCACATTTTGCCTCCATTATTTCACCCTGAAGTATTGTAGTCTTCTCTAAGAACAAAATCAATTACGTCTATATTTCTTTTTTTTCCCGTTTATTACACTAAAAATCAGCATTCCCTGAAGATTCAAAGGTTGTTTAGCCAGGTCCCTTGTTGCTGGAGTTTAAAGGCATTTTGAGAGATTCTACAACTGAAAGCACGTATTTTAAACTTGCCTTCGAGGTCTTTTCTCTGTCATCTTTCCATAGGAGAGCAAGCTGAAAAGACAAAGGGTAGCTTTAAGACCCTGTTGGGTATGGGCATATTGTTCCTGTAGTGATGCATAAAAATGGTCTAGTTGGGAGTTTTGGTCTCATTGTCCCCAAAAGGCAGGCCAGTTATTTAGGCACACCTGGAAAAGAAAAGAGTCATGTTAGTGCTCTAAGGTTTTCTTTTTCTAAAGTTGTGCTTCATGGTTATTGTCCACAAAAGGAGTCAAGGACAGCGTGTTGGAAATACTAAAAGTGACAGTTCAGCAGCCTGGTAAGAGCAAGATCTGCATGGTTGTTGGAAATGATCTCACACACAAGAAATAAGAACTTACTTTCAATTCACCTCAACAAGGAGATGGAAGGACAGACCATCAAAGACACAAAGGTACAAATCTCACTGATCTTTTTTTTTTTTATTATTCACTTTGCTCTTTCAGATATTCATCGGGAAGTTAGCCTATTCAACTTGGAGTCTGAAATCTGAAGAGATAGCCTCTGTAGAGGTTATTTACAAAGAGGTTAAAAAAAAGGCAAAGGATTCCAGTGGTGGCATCAGTGATGAAGATGACAGCGATGAGAGTGACAGCGATGCCATAAGTAATCATGACTACACGAGGCGTGATATCATCAGTAGAGCACCTCATTCCTCTGGTACACCACATACATTCGTGCAGTACTCTACAAATAGTACAGGTGACAGCAGCAGCAGCAGCAGCCAGGCAAGTGAACATCCAGACACTGACCCAGAAGATTTTGAAGAGCACGAGATGGACGTTGAAGAAGACAAAGACACAAGTAGTGAGTTACTTAATCCTTTCTCCGAGGTAAACTGCAACTATTCTTCTAGGCGAACGAGCAGTGCTTGCTTTACCATTAACTTAAAAACTGTGCAGTTGGGAGCCTCTGAAGAGAACGTGGATGGTTCTGCAGCACTACTTTCTTCCCGAGAAGATGCAGTTGAGTGGCAGTGTACTCATGCTTTTGGAGCAAAGCCCCTGGACGGCACCGAAAGTGTGCAGAAACCACTCTGTCCTAACAGCTCTCAGGAATGGCAAATTTCCTCTCATTCTTCTGATGAAAGTAACTCATCAGATTCAGATATGGACCAACAAACTGAATACATAAGAAGATGAATAAATGAGGACCACTATTATTTTATAACGTACAAAATTATATTGTCCAACTTTATTTCTGGACTCAATGTACTTATCTTGTCTTTTTATTTTTTTTAACATTCTGTGAATATGTACCCGAACGGTGAAAATATGCAACACTCATTTTTAACAAATATTTCTCAGATCTCTCCAGGTATGATTCAGGTTGGATTATCCACAGAGAAACAGAAATGACAGTTCAGATGCAGCAGAAAGAGTAGTTACTTCATTTTGCAGTTTGACAGTAAATTATACCTATTAGCTGTTACAAAGTAACTTAAACTCAAGTGAGAAGTTGGATTGCAGTAGAGGGAATTGTGAGTGACTGAAAGGACTCTGCTATTATTCTTTAGCTCTGTTGATGGATTACCCTGAGACCTGTTTTGCTGGATGGATTGCAAGTCAGTGAATTGATTTCTACATTTTCAGAGAAAGCTGAGAAAGGGAAATAATGGGGGCAGAGATAACAATATTCAACTGAGAGAAGAGTTCCCCTTACTGTGAATCAAGACATTATGTATACCTTTTTTTACTTTTTTATATATAATTTTGTGCAATTATTGAATACTACACTTTTTAAAAATCTTTGTATGACATTTCAAAGTGTACACTTATACCTTAACATTTCTGCTTCATAAAGGCAATTTTTTTCATATCCCATTCTGAATTTTTACTGTGGCTCCTTTAAAAAGCTACGTGAGTTAGCCTGCTAAGAATGTGTAGTCTTTATGGGAAGGCTTTTGGGTATCACCTAGCTGCAAAACCAACCTTTTTCACCCTTGTATTGATGTGCTTAGGTGCTTTTCTGCCTGCAAATAGTTTCTGGCTGCCGTGGGTGGCAGTCATTCTTTCGGTCGGGATAGCTGAGAGTCATTTCTGAGGTGCTAGAATATATTCTGCTGCCACAGTGCTGTTAAGAGCTAAGTAGGTGTCAGTACCTGACAGCTGGGATCTTGACAAGTTAGTGATCTGCAGATTTATGCGTCCATAGAATTGGTGGGTGACACTTCCTCTCCTAGTGACCCTGTGCTGCTCTGCTGTTGGTGCGGTGGCCGTGGCACGCACACCTCTGCTGTGGCAGAAGCCAGGGGCATCGCTCACACGAGAGTGAAGGTGCTGGGACCGTGCCCGTCCCAGGGAAAGCCAAACCTGCCTTGTAGCCTCGTCTAGTAACAGGAGGTGATAAATGGGGCAGAAACAAATGTATCAACCCCCCCCAAAGAACTGGTATCTTCAGTTGGCAACAGTAATAGCTTTGAGAAAGGGCCATTTTTACTCTGTGAATAATGAAACGCTCCCTTCCCCAAGTTTATGCTGGTTTTGATGAGGGATGCTGGGGTTATTCAGCCTGGAGAAGAGGAGGCTGAGGGGAGACCTTATTGCTCTCTACAACTACCTGAAAGGAGGGTGTAGAGAGGTGGGGGTCAGTCTCTTTTCTCAAGTCACAGGTGACAGGACAAGAGGAAATGGCCTCAAGTTGCGCCAGGGGAGGTTCAGGCTGGATATTAGGAAAAATTTTTTCACTGAAAGGGTTATCAGGCATTGGAATGGGCTGCCCAGGGAGGTGGTTGAGGCACCATCCCTGGAGGTGTTCAAAAGACGGGTTGATGTAGTGCTGGGAGGTATGGTTTAGTGATGATGCTCCTTGTTTGTTGTGCGGGTCTATTTTTGTCAGTTAGGCTGACGGTTGGACAAGATGATCTTTGAGGTCCCTTCCAACCTAGAAGATTCTGTGATTCTGTGAAGTAGTGGCAGGAGATAAACCTCTCCTCGGGTAACATTCCTACTGCCTGCAGCAGGAATCACGCTCAAGAGTGGGTTTGACACTACGGATCATCTGGTGTCTGCTCATGAGTTGGTTATTTATCCTCTTTATGCTGACCTCCTGTCTCCCCAGGTGCCGGATGGGATGCTGAAGATGCTCTTTAGAGCTTATGAGTACCCCAGCAGCCGGGCATCGCCAGTGTGTTTTAAAGCACAGCACGGCTGAACCGCTTTCCAAACCGGCGGGGAAGGTTCGGGGGCCGGGGGAACGCCACCCTGGCGAACGGGGGAGACTTCGCAAAGCCCGGAGCGAGCCCACCGCCGCCGCCAGTGTTGCTCAGCCCCGGCTCCGGAGGGGGGAAGCCCCGCAGCCCCGGGCGGCCGCCGTGCCCGCACCCCGTCGCGCCCCGCCCCGCCGCGGGAAGGCGGAAGGGTTTCGGGGCGGCCCCGTGAGAGCAGCGCCCGGTGCCATGGCGCGGCGCCGCCGGCTCCTCCGCTACTGAGGGAGGCCCACACCGGGAGCCGCCATGACCGCCGCCCTCCGGTGCACCCTTTCCAGCTGCCTCCTGCTCTGCGGTGAGTCCGCACCGGGCTCGGCGGGGAGGCCCGGGCGGGGGATCCTCCGGCGGCGGGAGCACGGCTCGCTAGAGGCCGCCGGCTTCGCTCTCCGGGGCGGCGCTGCCCCGGGAGACCGGCGGCGGTTCCGCGGGGGGGGGCACCGCTACCGTGGGGGGCTAAGCGGGGGACAGGGCTGGCCCCCTTTGGTCTTGGACGGGGGTGGCGGCGGGATGCTCCGGCGCCGGGGGCCCGGATCCCGCCGCCCACGCGGGTTTGGGTTGGTTTGGTTTTTTTCCCCGAAGGCTGTATGAGTGCTGGGAAACGGGATCCTTCCCCGTCGGTTGTGGACACTTGTGCAAGTCCCGGCGACGTGGGAGAGGAACCGCCCTCTTCCCGGCACCGCGGCCCCCGCCCCGCCGTGGGCGGTGGGAGTGCGGGTGTAGCAGCACCGGCAGAGCCCGGAGGGACCGGCCGCCTACCGGAGGAGCCGGTGCTGCTGCTCCGGGAACGGAGAGAGCTGCAAAGGGCTCAGAGGGCAGCCCGGCCACCGAAGCTGGGCACAGCAGTCTTAGAAGACTGTCATTTGAGCCGTGTACAAACCTTTTTGTTTAGAGAGTACAGAACCACAGAATTCATTTTGTCATCGGGAGACTCAGACGAGCTATTGGGAAGCAATTCTTTAGTGTGAGGGTGGTGAGACACTGGAACAGGTTGCCCAGAGAAGCTGTGGATGCCCCATCCCTGGAATTGCTCAGATTGGATGGGGCTTTGAGTAACCTGGTCTGGTTGGAGGCGTCCCTGCCCATGGCAGGGGGGTTGGAATTAGGTCCCTTCGAACCTAAACTGTTCCATGATCTCTTTGGGTGTGGAATAAAAAACTTTACCTGGAGGTTTTTCATAGTAGAAAACCTTGTCAGGAAGGTGAGCCTTCAAAAGCATCATGCTTTTTACTGGGAATTTACAAGCCTACCTCAAACTTTTGGAGGGAGCTTCCTCAAAGCGCAGGCAGCGCCCTAGAGAGGATCCTTGTGGCTAGGACCACGTTGTGGAGGAGAGGAGAAATCAGATGCCATGTACTAGCCAGATCTTTTTCCAGCTGTGTTGCTCACGCTGTTACCTGCGCCCATCTTCCGTGGCATTCTGCATACCTAGGATAGTGCGGGTGGGAGCAGGAGGTCACAGGTGCCTGCAAAGGGCCACGGTGTGTGCCCGGGCAGAGATCTCTGAAGGTGAGTGCCCGAGGTGGGTGCTGGTGTGAGCACCTCTGCACCAGGGACAGCATCTCTCAAGGAGGTCTGGGCACAAGGGAACAAGCAACTTCTGCTTCTCCGATGTGACAAACAGAATGGTAGGGGTTGGAAGGGACCTTCAGAGATCAGCTAGTCCAACTCCTCTGCCAAAAGCAGGTTCACCTAGAGCAGGTTGGAAAGGAACACGTCCAGTGGAGCACATTTGAGTTGATTTGTTGGGTGTGATGGTAACGTTGTAGGAACTGAGCCGGTGAAATGGGTTTTATTTAACAGGGTTTGGATTTTAAACTTTTGCCTGCTAAAGGTGGATAGCTGACATTCATTTAATGTATTTCTGCGTCAACTGTAGACATATAAAATATGTTATCTGATTTTTTTCTTAGAACATATGTCATTAGATTTTACTCCTGTGGCTCTTAAGCACTAACCTGATATGACAGGGTTTGTTTGCATTGATCAGGTGTGTTGCAAAAATGGGGCAAAATATTTTCTGTTTTAGTTTCAATACCAACAATTTAAAAATAATTAAATCATAATAGTAATGGGCTGTTCATCAATGCTACGTCAGGGTTTCCTTTTTTTAGTTTCAATAAAGCAAAAAGATCCTGTTCTGGTCACTTGTGAAGAGTGCCAATTAACGGTTCACTTGTATGGTATATTTAATAGCTTTCTTGTCTTTGAAGGTACTTATTATTTATCTCTGTTCTGCAAAAGGGTGGTTTAGTAACAGAATGAGTAAAGCATTTTAAATGGCAATGCTAACCCATGCAGTGATGATATAAACACACTTTTAAATTATTTTTTAATTATTTCAATCTTATACCCAGGTCTATGTCGAGATACTGTTCGTGTTGCTCTTCAGAAAAAAACAAAACAAAACAAATCACTCCACACACCCATGTTTTTCCCATAGTGCTACTGGAGCAATGCTTAAAAAAATTTGATTTTGGCAATCTCAGTGAGATTTCATGCTTGTAGCGTGATGGGCCCTAAGTCTTCACAAGTCAGTCATGCGTAATGAACAATGATATCATAAAGACAGTGCTTACTAGAAATCATTGATGCTGGCTAGTTTGGTTTTGTTGCATATGCTCAGAGGGAACAATAGGCATCAGGATTTAAATTATTTATATTAAAATTTTTTTTTTTTTTTTTTTTTTTAATGTCTGAGGCAAGGAAGGGAAAGAAGCCTGTATTTAAGTTTTGGATGACTGAAAAGTCTCTGGAAGAACGCATACTAAAATGTTTGGTTTTGATTGCTCCCACAGTGTCCGGAATAATTCCAAAACCTCAAAATGTAAGAATTACTTCAGTTAATCTTCGTAGCTTTTTACAGTGGGATGCACCTCGGTTTCACAAAGGGAACATAAGTTACACTGTCCGATCTAAGAGGTAAGTCTGGGGGAGTTGTGCTTTCTTTAATTCCCATTTTACAGCTGCATGTGTTTCTGATGTGTTTCCTTTTTTATAGGAAGATCAGTAGCTCTCCCTTTCTTTTAGCTCGTGAGAGGCTTATCTTCTGAGCTAAATAGCAGGGCAGAGGCATTTTCTATACATTTCCTACCCAACGCAGCTTTGTACGTACGGTTTGTTTGGAACCAGAAGCATTTTAACGTTGGCTGTTACGAGCCGTGCGCGTGTTTTTTCTCTATTGTTCAGCTGTTACCTGCAATTTGAGACTTAGTCCTGCTGAGCCTTAGGACTTTGTCTGATCTTTCACTCCAGCAGCATTTTGTGCTCTGCAGCAGTGCAGCCAGCCAGCTTGTCTGCACCCTTGGTGGTAAATGCTCCATTAACTGCAGGCAGGTGGCTCATCTGTTCAGTGCCTTCGGCTCAGGACACATTTTCTGGGGTCTCCTTTTGTCAGTTTTGGTGGGTTGAGAAATGTTCAAACCAAGGGTATGGGCCATCTTGGTCAAAAGAAGATTTTTCTGGGTTCTGGTAGCAATTAATTACTGTTGATTACTTTTGATTACTACGTTCGCAGGTAGGCTGTTGATGCAAAACAGAAAGAATGTCACATGTGACACTATTCCCAGTCAGTGCTCAGGCTTTTTTTTTTCTCTGGCTTTTCCATATATGCATATCTAAAAGACAGTTCTGAACAAAGTCCGAGTTAGACAGCCAAGCCATGTGATATTGTCTCAATATTTGCAGGCTTGTTCGATGACTATTGTGTGTTGAATCAAGTTTTGTAAACACTGTCAAGAACATGGCATCTATTTGCTGAACTATCATAGTTTAAATCTCTAACTTTATCACAGATTTATAGATGCATATAAAATGCTCTAATGTGCTTGCGTACACACTACTAATGATGTTTCTTGTGATCTAGTTTTTCTTTGTTCATAAGCCATAATTGGTTGTATTAACAGACAGGTATGGTACTTTTCCAGTTAGTGGAGAGGAAAAGCATTTAGTTAGTTGTAATTTACGCCTTTTGTTTCTCTTCCACACAGTGTCAATCTCCCTGGAAACGCATATAAAAATATGGGCACAAACTTGAGACTCACAGAGTGCAATGTCTCTTCTCTGTCTGCCTATGGAGACTACATCTTACAGGTCAGAGCGGAGTCAGAAAATAACCATTCAGACTGGGAGTCCGTCAGTTTTAAGCCAATGCATGACAGTAAGCCTTTTTCCAATCTTCCACAAAAAATAAGTGCCTCTTTACAATTTCGTGCCATAGGAAAAGCTGTATTACATTAAACTTTAAAATCTTAGTTGTGACACTTTCATTTTTGAAGGCAGTGAAGCCTTACAGTCTTTTGTGAGAGATGATTTAGACATTGCCTTGCATTAGAGTGCACAACAGAGGTTAATTATGTTGCTGTGGCCTGAGCTTGGGAGTGAGGGAGTCTTTTTTACCAATGGGAGTCTTTTGTTTTGTACACTCTTACTCCACTGATTAGTAAAAGTCAAATTATTTTAAAATAGGTAGATAATTTTACCCAAGGCTTTTTTCTCCTCACAGCTGTTAAAACAAAACTATGTAGGAAGCTTCTGTTGTACCTCATCTTTGAGAAAAACTTTTGAAAATCTTTTTCTTTCTAATTCTGCCTTCATTTTCTTGACTTTCATCATTCTGTTCCTTGGGTTTTAGAGTGTAAATCTACAGTTAACAGCCTTGTTTTTCAAAATGCTTTTATTGGTTATCTGTCTCCAGAAGCATAATGTTGCTATAATTTTATCTGCCTAGAACAGAAGCACTGAAACATAGCACATAAAAAAAAACCAAACCAGCATTGCAAGTATAAGGTACAGTCAAAAGAAAGTGCAATACAAAAAGTACGGATGGATTTTTAGAGCAGAGAGCAAATGTGTTAAACATTAACAGAGTTGTAGTTTGACATATATTTGAAAGAGCGTGTGGCCTTCAGAGCAGGCTTGGTTTTGGAAAGACAGCTTATTTCTGAACTGAGAAAATCTGGATATAAAACTACCTGGAAAGAAAGACCTGGGATTACTGGCCAAATCTCTGAGGAAGACGTGAGGATTTTTAATGTTGTCATGGCTGATCTGAACATGGCAGCATAATGAAAATATCTGATGTTCCTTTCCCTGTTATTATTTCTGCCAGTCTGTTTTTAGATATTTCACACTGTGTTATAGGAATAGCCTAAGAAAACCAGAGTAATCAAAACCGTGCTCACATTATTTTTCACAAGTTCAACAACATATTCGTGAGCATTATATGAATGCAGGGTCCAGCAAGCAGATTATTTTTTTCCATTTTTGCTTAAAGAAATGCATGTTTCTAGAGGAATGCAAAATTCTTTTTGTATTGAGCTCTTCCTTTCTTAGACATTTGACAGTGTGGCTACAGCCAGGTAGAACTTTAGCAGAGGCAGCCAAGGCAGAGTCATTTGTTGGAGCTACAGGAGAATTGAATGAAGAGCTCATTGCAGACACAGTGCCGTTGATAAGTAAGCTAGGCATGAATTAATTTAGGTAGTGGCACAAAAACATAAGGAAAAGCCATTTTCAAAGCAGGATCACGTAATATTCAGTCTTTAAGACATGAAGAAATATGTTTCAGTTTAAAAAAAAAATAATATTTTCACAATGGAAGAAACATTAGAACACTTCACTCGAGGGTCTCCTCAGAAAAGACATGTGTTTCAACATCTTGGCCAGAAAGAGAAGTGGGAAATAACTTAAAGAAATAACCCTTCCTCTCCCAGGAGTCACCACAGCTGGCAAAAGAGAACTGAGTTAATTTAGTGTATGGGAAAAGTGGTCTACAGAAATATCTGTTATTTAACTGCAAAAATAAAACCCTTTCAAGACCAGTTCTATAAGGAAAGGATTTATTTATGCCTGACCCATGAAAGGAAATTACTTTCTTGTAATAGATAATTTATGTAAAGTGTGAACTGTCATACAGTGTGTAAATTGTCAAATTGAAAGCAATATGAAACTGAATTCCATTCTTTCTTCTCCTCCACCATTCCAATATATAGCAGTCATCGGGCCACCTGACGTAAAAGTGAAGTCAGACTCTGGCTCCCTGCATGTGGATTTCACAGGCCCTTTTGCTGAACATGACAAGTGGTCTCTAAAGCACTATTACGGCTCGTGGAATTACAGAATACTGTACTGGAAGAAAGACGGCAATAAAGAGGTAACTTCTGCTTCCTGGATGTTGTGACTCCATGACTTTGAGATACACCTTTCTTGGTAAAATACCATTCTGATGAAGTTCTGAAAGCTAATGGTACTGAAATACAAATACATCTCTACTAGTTACAGTGTAATAAACTGTAATTTTATTTATCGTTTTTAAACAACTTTTATTATTTTAAACAACAAATTTATTTATTATATTTGAACAACTTCTTCCCCACCAAATCTCTGTATTTCACACGTACAAGCAAGGGTAAACTTAGAAGCTGTAACGTAAGTGATCATGGTGATAAGCTGACTTCGATTCAAATCTGATGTGGTTCACCTATTTGTGTTCTTTGTGGGACTTTGGGCTTTGCATACCACCATGGATGAGGCTTTATATAAACTGTGGTCACCTTCACCTCTTTCTTGCAGCTGTAATTTGCTTTCTTCCTCTCATGGACAGCTTCTTCCACAGACAGATGTGTTGCTCAGCCCAAAAGACTTCTCCATACAAAACGTGAGGAGAAAGATCATAAATCATATATTAATTATAGGATCTTGAGTTCTAATACAGGAAAAAAAAAAAAAAAGAAGCCTTTTTAACAGATATCAGTCAATTATAATAATATAATAGTATAATTAGTGCTTTGTACATCAGTACAATTTTCATATAGTAGGACTCCACTACATATAATTTTGATTTATATTTGTTACCCTGCAAAATTCTTTCCCATTCAATTCAAAAAAAAAAGGAGGGATCATTATTTCCCAAGACCCAGACTGGTTTGAAATTCCCAGACTACAAAAAAATGAAGGTATTTCTGCATATGGCTTGCAAGCTTAGGCAGATTACCAGAGAAAGTGGGAACTTCAGGTATCATGTGTGCTTGTAGCACTTCAGAGCAGAAATCTGGGAAATTTCCATAGGGTTCAAAGAAGAAAAAGCCATAGACTGTATAACTTCATCCGTTGTTTTTTGAAGTGGGTGCTTGCTCAAAATGTTGAAACCTAGCTGTAGAGTCTTCCCACCCCTGAGAAAGAATCTGGAACTACATAATGGGGCATGTTGTAGGGATTCCTGTCCTCTGCAGGGACCATAAAGTTACAGGGACGTATCCAATCGTGCCTCTAAACAGCAAGTTGCAGCTGCTGTCAGTCATCTAATAATGGCTTCCACAAGCTTTTTTCTTTCTCTGGTTTTTTGGTTTTGTGTCTAGATCATCCATCCTACCTTCTCTGTCACAAATAAAATTATGTTTGCCTGTAACAGTACTCTTAATCTCATTCCATTAAGCAATTATCTCTCTCTGCAGGCAGATCTCATTTATCACTTATCTGTAGCCTACAAACTCCATTAATGCCTCCAGAAGCAGCCAGAAAGTCAGTGATGTCAATGTTCTCCCACTCCTCTAACCATAGGTGAAATCAATGAACAGCTATCAGTGGTGTGACATCGGCAGCGCATTTCCTTCTGCCTTTAAAACCTTTCTTCCCATAATGGCTAGGATTTGTCCTACTAAATGTCATTTTAATTACTTCGCCAGTCCACTCACTGCACTCATGCTTTTCAAATCTTTTGTATTCCTCTCTGTTATTAGGTAAATCACGTAGATACTGAACACACCTCCGCAATACTCTCTCAGTTGGAGCCGTGGACGCTGTATTGTGTTCAAGTGCAAGCGGTTGTCCCCGAGTGGAACAAAACAGGGGAACGGAGCGGGGAGCTGTGCGAGCAGACAACCCACAACGGTAATGCCTGCTGCATCAGAATTTCTTTTACTGTGTTCATTACGCTGTGAAAGCCCTTGTCCCATGTATTTGTAACTGAGAAAGGAACTGGACCCTGTGTTGCATTCTGCTTCACCTGTGGCGATATTGCCAGTGTCTGTCACCATGCCCGACCGTGATGCTCTTTCTCTGTGAAACATGGCAGTTATTAATCAATAATATAAACATATGTTTTGTTAGGATCATTTCTTTCTCATTTTGAAGGCAGTTAAGTACCAAAAGTGCTTTTCTTTCCAGCCATGCCACCTTAGCCCCTGTCGGTGGAGTCCAGCAACAATCAGCACATGGTCTGATCCTGTCGTCTTAGCAGGGAGCTTCATGTCCCTAGTTAAAAGAAAGGATGGGGTCCTAGATACTGTCTCTTTCACAGGCATAATGTGCATTGCAGTTAATTTACACCCTCAGATAGCAGGTGGAAAATCAGAGACGCAAGTTAATGAGGAAGCCATCTATGGGATGACCTGGGGAGACTGGTGGGATGACCTGTTTCTCATGGTTTTCCTCATTAAAAGCTCCCGCATATATTTTTCCTACATGTGTATTATCTGCATGCAGTTGAATTACAGGTGTATTTTGGTGGTGGTGTTGCTTGTTAGTTTGTGGCTAGAACAGTGCTTAGCAAGCATAGGTTGGTTTATAATGTTTATACAGGGATGTATAGATACATCTCCATTCCCATTGCCTGTTGTAAAATCCTGGTGCATGACATAATTTTTTTAAAGGCTCGGTAGTTTAGTATTTTACAGACTTCTGTCCCCCACTGTCTTGTCTTTGCCGCTATTTTTACAGATTTCTTTAAGAGAAAAGTGGAAGCCAGTACTCTGGTAGTTCTATGCATCAGCTCCTACGCTCCTGAAACAATAAAGAGTGTACAGTAGCATTTTGCATGAGATCACCTTGTGGATAGTTCTGGGGATCTTTTTTCCTTTAATCATTTGCCTAGTATTGCGTGTAGAACCACCAGTATGTGTAACTGTAAATGTCTAAATATGAGGGCTTGTAAGCTTACTTTGTTGAGAACTTCCTCAGCCTATTCAGACTAAACATTTAAGAGCCAAGAGGTATTTCGCACCTGGAAACATAGGCGTATGTTTGCAGTTACAATTTTGTAATAGTTTTGTGTGTTGTCATGGGTTTTGTTGTTTTGTTTTTTTTTAATTCCATAAAGAAAGCGATAATTTGAAAAGAATATATTCAGAAACTAATTATCATAGTTTAAATTATTATTTTTTCTTGTCTCTTGCAGGTGTAACTCCCGTGTGGTTAATTGTGACCATTCTTATAGGATCGATGTTGGTGGTTGTGATATCTGTTCCCGCTTGTTTCTTTTCCTCTTTGTATCTGTATCGACTGACAAAACATGTTTTCTTCCCTTCGTATATTTTCCCACAACACTTGAAAGAGGTTTGTTTTCTGCCTAACACAATTAAAATCCCCCTTTGCAGCAGAACCACCTGCTTTACAAAGGCTCTCTGTGCCAAAACCTTTAGAGCTTCCTTTATTTTGCCTTCTTTAGTTTACACCTGATTGTTAGCCATCTGTAAAGTGTGAAGTCTCTGAGGGGGTTATAGACTACAAGGAGGGATGCTGGTTATCTCTTGTTGTGTGTAGTAAAGCTCGCTCTTCTGCCAAAAACCATTCAACTAAGTGTAACTGCTGAAGTCGTGAACTTTGGAAAGAGCTGACAAAGGAAGGTACTTTTCAGCGTGAGAACAGTAGGGGAAGTCAGTTCAATATTTAATTTCTGGCATTATAAAGTCATAAATTTTGCATGAATGCTACCTCAGTTTTTTCATCAAGTCCTGTGGCGCTGCACAGACATAAGTAAGAAGCAGTGAAATTAGACTTCCTTTTGAAGTATACTGATGTATAATAAACTCTAAAATACTGTCGTTTTGAACTGTTTGGTGCAGAATGGCCTAAAATACTTAAAAGCTAAGCAATTTAAAAACTTGGCGTAGACTTTTTATTCCTAAAGTAACTGCATAATTTGTAACATGAAGCTTTATATGGCTTAGAAACAGGATGTTTTATTTCATTTTGAAGTGAAAGAATAACAGGTGTTAACCTCCTGTTCCTCTTGCTAGACAGCGAACCACTGAGATATGTCTCCCCTATCTAATTTTAGACTTGAAATTGCACATTAGTTCTCCTGGAGCAAAGTTCTTTCACAGATATAATAATGAGTTTTAAGTAAAGAATGTAGCAAAGTCTGAAAATTGAAGATAAAGGGAGAGCAATGAATGTTAGCCGTTACCATTGGAGGATACCACTAACCCTGCTACCCATATAGCAACATGAAAAGGCTGTATCAGAATCTCCTCCAAGAAACAAGGCTAACCAGAGTGTTACGTGTGCTGAAGTTAGCAGCAACCTGTACTCTTCTGAGCGTCCTGCAGTTTCTCTGGGTCTTTCCTTTTCACTCATTTAGAGTTCAGCAGATGAGGGCTCTGCCAGCTGAGTTCACAATCATGCTTTAAGTTGAGCGCACGCTCGGGGCACAGCAGTTTGTTAAACCTGGAGCTCAGCTGTTGGGAAGGCAGCATTGCTCTGATCAATACAGGATGTGGTCAAATGTCATTTTGCTCACAGGTTTCTCACAAGAAAGGGAGAATTTTCATTTTGTGCTAGTGGGTTATAGTCGTCAATCACAGTAATCAACGGGCAGTCGTGCTTACCTAAAATTACATTTCTCAAAGGCAGTGGTTTCACTACATGAACATTTGAGATTGCATGTGACTGACACAACATTTCAAATCACAGTTTGCTTGAAAATGGTCTAATAGTAATAATATGAGTATTTATTTTTGCAATTACGGTGAACTGGATTCCTAATAGTGCATTTTATGTAAGAAATGAGCCACTCTAAAGTAATAGACAGAGGTCAGTTCAGAAGAAGAAAATGTAGTTGTACTCCTCCAGCCAGGAGGATACCAATAAAATGAACTGCCACTTCAGCTGTCAAAATGAGTGGTTGACCTGTTAGTACTGTGTTGAGTAGGTGTGCTGTTCTTGTGTTGACATTCAAAATACAGTCATGACATCCTGTGAAGTCCATGTTGATTCTGGAGGCCAGTTCCGTCTTACCAGTAGAACAGGGAGTGGGAGGAATTTGTGATATTTTGGTGCTAAAATGAAGTCATCTTTCTCACTGAACTGCACAGACCTGCAAATCTCCCTCCCTCTGCTTTTCTTGACTAAAGAAAACATAAGTTATGGCTTATGTTGACATTTAAAGCATCGCTATTTGGTGTCTGAGCAGACAGCTCTCTGAGGTGGCAGGAACAATTCACAGCTCTTAGAGCTGTTTGACAAATCTCTCTGCGAACTCCTTCACTTACAGACAAGTCACCATTTTTAGTTTTTGTTCCCAAACAAAACCTAGGTATTTTATTTTTTTAAGAAAGTTTATATTGCAAAGAGGCCACTAACCCCTGGGTTATCTTCTTGCAAATAGAAACACTTCTGACTTGCTTCCAAGCCTTGCACAGGATGTTAAAGCAAACAGAGAGGTTATTACGTTTACGCCACTCTGGGACTTCTAAGGGTTGAGAAAGCCAATTGAAGCGTGGGAAACAATATAAAACATATTTCTAAGCAAACAGGGTGGTATGGCTGGTGCAGCCTAATTCTTATTTCCTCCTTCCTTCACAGTTTTTGAGCACGCCTCCCAGCAGTCCACAGTTTTTTTCTCCACACCCACAAGAAGAGCAGTTTTTTTACGACACGCTAACTGTCATTTCAGAAGAATCCAAAAATCATAGTGATGAGACTGACAGTGAGGCCAGCAAGACAACAGAGCACCTTCAGGACTCTGACCAAGAAGATTCTGATTCAAGAATAGTACCTGCTTCAGAAGAGGCCTAAATAAATGCACTCCTCATACTTCACTTGGACCAAAGGAAAACCAAAGGGGCTGTTGAGTTTATCTTCTTATCGCTGCATTCTTAAGACAGTAAAAATTCATATACAAAGATGTGTACAGAGACTTTTGACAGAACGATATTATCTTTTTTAAATACAAGAAACTTGACTATAAATGAGGAATTAAATTATATGCAATTTTTGCTACTGTTTGTCGTAGCTCACTGTTAAGTTGTAGCAATACCTAGGACTGCACTATGACATTAATTTAAAAAGCAAATATATATATATATATTACTAGTTAATTTAACTTTGATGAACTATTTATTGCAAAAGCTAATCAAAATGGCATATTGTATAACATTTGTAAAAGAAAATCATATTTTGTAAAGAAAAGACCTGATCCGACATATTTTTTTAAAGGAGAAATTTTGTGTGTTTCTTAAGGATATCCCTACTGGCATAATCTTTCTACTGAGTATTTTTTTTACCTGATGGGAAATTGTAAAGTTATTATGATGGTATGAACTTGGTATGAATAAACCAAGTACAAATTGCATTGCAAGGTGTTACTCATACTTCATCGCTAAGGATAATGGGAACATACCAGTGCACTGCCAGTTAACCCTTTATGTTCAGGTATTGCTCAGTCCCTTGAGCCTCTGACCTGCAGTTTTTAATGGCTAATTAAATTTTGCCTACCTAACCCAGAGTCCACTGAAGTCTGTGGAAACTTCACAGCTGAAGCGGGAGTCAAAAGGTAGGTTCATTTCATTTATCTGCTGATGCATATTCAAAAAAAGTAAATCCAGGTTGATATGACTCCCATGCTAGATAGTAGAATCATCTTACCTGCACAGCCTTTTTCATGCATATAAAGGTTATGTCCACACCAACATTGGGGCATAAAGCCTGACCTTTGCACCGTGCGCTGATTTGGTGAGCGATGCATTATTTCGTGTGTCTTACTACATCAAAATGAGAGTTAAAAGTTAACTTCTGTCAGCAAATGTAACTTGCCATGACTGAAGTTGTGTATAAATCATAACTGGATGCGGGTATTGCAAAATTTTTGGCTATGGTTTTGAGGGTTGCTATTTAATGCGTAAATGGTCACTTCTTAGGAACTGTGGCAGGAAGAAAACATAAGAACAGGCATTGATTGTTTATACTACCCAGCTACATGTAATCCGCATGCATTTTTTCTGCACTTTTAATTTTCATCATATTCTGGTTTAATGTAGAATGTGGAAAAAATGGGGAAACATTTTAGTTTTGGGGTTTTTTTAAGGCATTTTGTTTCATTGATGCTTTTCTTCACTTCTCAGCAAAGACGCTTCTGTGAGTGCTGACCTTAATGAAGGCTAATGTCCTGTGTCTGGTACGCCTCTCCACTGCACCCTGTGTGTTCCATATCCCTCCTTCCACAGCAACAGCTTCTTCTGGGTTTTTGGTTGGTTGGTTGTTTTGCGGGGGGTGCTAGGCAAAAAGCATAGCATAGCTCATATGAGCAATGCATGTGCTAGTTGGGTGGCCAGCTGCTGTCAAAAGAGAAAAGGGTTGAGATTTCCTTGCGTTTTCCTCACTCTTTTAGTAGAGCTGCTTTTGTCTATCTGTTGGCTGAAGGACATGGACCTGTTGGAGCGAGGAGGCCCACGGAGATGCTCAGAGGGCTGGAGCCCCTCTCCTACAAAGACAGGCTGAGAGAGTTGGGGTTGTTCAGCCTGGAGAAAAGAAGGCTCCAGGACTTACAGCCCCTTCCAGTACTTAAATGGGGCCTAAAGGAAAGATGGGGAGGAATTCTTTGTGAGGGAGTATAGCGACAGGATGAAGAATAATGGTTTTAAAGTGAAAGAAGGTAGATTTGATTAGATATGAGGAAGAAATTCTTTATTGTGAGGGTGGTGATTCACTGGAAGAGGTTGCCTATGGAAGCGGTGGATGTCCCATCCCTGGAAGTGTTCAGAGCCAGGCTGGATGAGGCTTTGAGCAACCTGCTCTAGTGGGAGGTGTCCCTGCCCATGGCAGGGGGGCTGGAACTTGATGGTCTTCAAGGTCCCTTCCAACTCTAACCATTCTATGATTCTATAATTCATGGAAAAGCAAGAAGTTACTATCTATCGTGGCTGAAATCAATCAGCTGGTTCAAAGGTTATAAGGAGGGCACAGATAAGGCAATCCCATATGCTGTGCCCCTTCATTACAGGTTCACTGTTAAGCCATGTTGGGGGAGAGATAAAAATAATCTTGGCTATTCAGAGATAACATTTTTTTTAGATTAAAGCAGAAACAATGTGTGCAAGAACATCACCTCTGAAATTTTGAGAGGTTCACTTCCCTCATTCAAAGAGGAAGCATTTCCCCCCATGTCTTTGCCAATACCAATTGTACTATCACATGAGAGGAGAGGGAAACACTCTGTTCTCAGAATACTGCTTCCTCTTTCAACACATCCAGACACCTGGGAAAAGGAAGGATGTGCCCTGACCGCTTTGTTTGTTTAACTTTTCTTTGATATGGAACATGGTGACTTTAAAGAAACAGCTGGTTTAAGTTCATCTGAGCCCCTCTTTAACCTACCGCCTATATCATCTTCAAAAAGCCTTTATATAGTGAATTAAAGCCTTTATATAGTGAATTCTAAAATGAAAAACATATTAAGATTTCAGCTGCCCCACAACTAGCATGAAATAGGAATGAATTCCCCAACTCTGCATCTCAATAGGTCGCCAAAGTTTGTAGCAAGTTCAGAGACCTGCACGATCCTAGCAAAGGTTGAACCCTCCATCATACCATGCTCCAGTTGTCTGAAGACATCAAGCTGACCAGAGCTGTTGGACAACACCATTGTGTTACTCTAATGTAAGTGGAGCGTGGGGTGGCAGTTTGCATGGCAGGGCACCCTGTCAGCTCAAGAAGTCTCTGCCAGGATGGTGGGCACTCTCCTTAGAGCTAAAACCCGTGTTTCTGCAGAGAAAGGCCCTGTGATGTCTAACATTTCTACCCAGATGGAACTGGTAAGAAAGGACACTTCAGTACCGATGGTAGGTTACAACCAGTGCCCAGACCGTTCTCCTGGAGGAAAGGAAAGTACCAGCAAAAGCTGTTCACAGGTTGTTGATCTGTTGTGTCAGGTGGCCGAGCTGCAGGAAACGGTTAAAAGACTGTGCAGTATCAGAGAGACTAAGATGGACATAGAACAGTGGCTTCAGAACCATGCTTCTGTGGCAGACACCACAGAATGAGGCACCTTGGACCCCGGTAACCCACAGAAGGAGTCGTCTTCTTCAGTCTCGACCCTCCAGCATGACAACCATAAACAGATATGAAGCTTTAACAGCTGTAGACACCCACAAGCAAGATCCGCAAGGAGAAACTGCACCATCAGCCCACAATGGATACTGCAAAGAGAAACAACAAGTGCTCATAGTGCACGACTCTCTGTTAAGGGGCACTGAGATGTTCATCTGCCGGCCTGACGGGAGTCATGTGAGGTAAACTGCCTTCTGAGAGCTAAGGTCTGAGATGTTGCTGAGAGGGTCCCACAACTTGTTAAGAGCACAGACTACTATCTGTTGCTACTCTTCCATACGGGCACAAATGACACCACAAGCCAGAATCTGGGCAGAATCAAGGAAAACTACAAAGTCCCGGGGATGCAAGCAAAAAGTACTGATGCCAAGTTACCTTTTCTTCCATTTTACAGATGGGTGCAGCCAGAAATAGAGGTATTTGTTTCATTGATGCTTTTCTTCACTTCTCACCAAAGCTGCTCTGTGAGTGCTGACCTTAATGAAGGCCAAGGGTGCAGCCAGAAATAGAGGTATCATGCAAATCAACCTCTGGCTTTGTGGCTGGTGCATCACCAGCAGAGGTAAAGAAGTCATTATCCTACTCTACTCTCTGCCTGTCAGGCCACACCTGGAATTTTTGGTCCCTGCTATACAAAAAAGATGTGGACAGGCTGGAGAGAGTCCAGAGACGGGCCACCACGATGACCAAAGGACTAAGAAGCCTGTGATGTGCAGAAAGGCTGAGAGAATCGAGGTAAAGAAGTCATTATCCTACTCTACTCTCTGCCTGTCAGGCCACACCTGGAATTTTTGGTCCCTGCTATACAAAAAAGATGTGGACAGGCTGGAGAGAGTCCAGAGACGGGCCACCACGATGACCAAAGGACTAAGAAGCCTGTGATGTGCAGAAAGGCTGAGAGAATCGGATTTGTTCAGCCTTGAGAAAAGAAGGCTTAGGGGAGACCTTAGCACCATGTTCCAGTATTTAAAGGGTGGCTACAAAGAATATGGAGACTCCATTTTTACAAGAAGTCACAGGGAAAAGACAAGGGGTAACAGGTCCAAGTTACTCCAGGGAGATTCTGATTGGACACAAGAGGACAATTGTTCACAATGCGAACAATCAGCTATTGGAATAATATCCCTAGGGAAGTGGTGGATTCCCCAACATTGGACACTTTTGAGATTGAGCTGGACAGGATGCTGGGCCGTCTTGTCTAGATCATGCTTTGGCCAACAAAGTTGGACCAGATGATCTTTGAGGTTCTTCCAACCTGGTATTCTGTGATTCTGTGATATAATTTGGTAAATTAATTTAGGAGATTATATGTCACACAGAACAGAAATGTTCTCCAATGCAGAATTTAAAAAAGATCAGCCTGAAAGGGCAGAAAGAGATTCTATGAAATCTTGATTTGATTATCTGGTGCCAGAAGTTTTATCTCATGTAGAGCTAATCTTGTAGTCATGGCATCCTCCACCACCGATGTCTGGTTGCTTGTTTGCTCTCCCTTTACGACATAAGCGTCCAGCATGTTCATTTGTAGCAAAGCATCATTTGTGTTCCTGTTCATAAAGGAATTAAAAAGTAATGTTAAATTAACGTGAGGATTATGATTAATGCTTCATTACTGACTTCTCATATCAGGTAAAAGCACTTAGTTGCATTATCATTATAATTCCTTCTGCTCTTAAATGGGGATTATGGTATGCAGACACTACAGCGATGGGAAAGACACTACAGTGACAGGAAAGACCAGGCAAGGCATTTCTTGGATGACTCCTATTTTCTTTGCTAAAGTTCACTCTTCTTACCTCAGAAGAGGGTTTATGACTAAAAAGATGGTGATAAGCTGTACTTCAGAGCTCCTACATGTGGCGCTCATTGAGACCTGACTTGAGGTAAACGGAGTGTGTTCACCTCCAGGCACAATCCACAGTAGATGAAGGAACCTGCCACAGACAAACAACTTTATGTAAAATTTCAGGCACATGATATGAAGTGCAAATATGGAGCAATGCAACAAGGATAGGAAGAATTCACAGCGCTATGGAAAGGGAAACCCCAGCTCATTTTTCACTTCTGACTTCTCACTTCTGACATATTTTGTTCACTTCATATTAACCTGACTAAAACCCAGCTAAGTTATTAATGTCTACAGCTTTGAGTCACATGTTGCTAAGCAGCTATTATTGGGGATTTGGGATTTTTCCAGTGTTTTGTTATTTAATGGGCTAAGACCCAGTAAACCAGTTATAGTTAGAT